ACACACACACACACACACACACACAAACACACACTGAGCCAAGCTCAAAGTCATCATCTCCCTAGAAGTATTGCTGTTGTACATCTACCATTACCACATCCTCATCGATCATAAATACGTCATCTCGTTTACAATTAAAGAAAAACAGTGAGGTGATTTTTTTTTTTTTTTACCACTCTCTGCCTGCTTCCTCCATTTTATCATATATTTTCCTCAGAGAAATGTTGATCCATCTATTTTTACAGGGGTTGTGGTGTGTTTGAGAAAGTGGATGAAAGTGCCTGAGGTTGGAAGAGAGAGGGAGGGAGGCTGCTGCACTCCAAACGGGCCTATTCTCTCCCCCGTCTCCCCTGTCTCCCCCCTCACAGGATGGGCTCCATGAGCACTGACAACCGTGACGGTCACAGGTCCTCACGAACAATGACTAAGATCCTCTCTCTGCATCTCTTTCTTCAGGCTGACTCGGGGCCTCGTGGGGCCAGCAGGGAACGTTTGGGTGCAGAGGGGACCCTCCCCCAGGAAAAGGGTGGCCCCTCAGTCCCTGCCCACCTCCTGGGAAACCCCTATGCCTTTGGCCTCACCCCTGGTGCTGTCATGCAGGATTCACGTTTCCAGCCCCTTAAGTGAGTCACACACTGCTCTGCCTCTTTCTCTGGATTTGCAGTTTTTACATGTTTTCAAAAAAAATTCAAAATAAAGTTTTGGCACACTTTGATATACGTGTATGGTCAGTAACTGTTGTTGATATTGTTGATGGGATTGAGATACAATTAGAATTTCGACAGTTTCTTGGTGAAAACTGGTCAGGTAAAAAAACGGTAAACACGCAAATCAGACTAATCATGGCTTTTCTCTGTTGTGCCCCTACTCTTGTCTTACCTTCAGTCTGCCCAGACAGTTGCCTAATGCAGTGCCCCCTGGTCCTGTACCAGAAGAGTACCTCCGTGGTTTCCGGCCCTATGCCACGACTGAGGATGCCCTCCGTATGCCCTCTTTGCCCTTGGGCCTGGACCCTGCCACTGCAGCTGCTGCAGCTGCCTACTATCACCCCAGCTACCTGCCCCACCCCTCCTTCACACCATACAGGTAGGCCTCTCTATTAATTTGTTTTGTTGACTTGGAACCCATTTCCTCCGAGAGCAAATTGTGCAAACCAGTGCATATACCTGACCTAAGTATTTGCACTGCTTAGACTCAGCAATAAATGCATTAGTGTATAGCTGACCTTGAATTCATGTTCCCAGAGCTAAAATATTCTTAATTTGTATATTTATTTAACTGGGGGAGAGATTTTATTGAGTGTAAGAGAGCTGAAGAGAGACATGACTCAGTTACATGGCAGCACAAATAAAAAACATCAGGTTCCAGGTAAACAAAAAGCAAACTGCAGAAAAGAGACAAAATAATCAAACTCACAGTATCAGTATGGACAGCATGGAAAAAAAGACTGTTGAAACAAAGGTCAGAGAGTGTCAATTAAAACAATGACATTCCAGCACGGAGTATTGGGCTTCCTCTTTGAAACACTTAAGACCAGAGTTTATCATATTGGACGCAATGGCTGAGACTCCTTTTCCTTGTCTTTGCCCAAGCTTGGTTATACCCATGGATAAAACTTGAACATTCAAAAGAGAACCACAGCTGGTTTTGCCACCTCTGTATACGTCTGGAGCTTGTTCACACATGCTTTTTGAGAAATCACCATAAAAGAATCGCTGAACTCTTTATACATCTAAAATAAGATGTATCCTGTTCACCACTGTCGTTTGTGGATTTGGCCTTAAGGAAAACCGTTTTTAGGTATTTGTTTGTTTTTTATAGGGGCAACATCATATAAATAATACAGAGATAAATAGATCATACAGGAAACACCAGCAGTAGGAAATTTATGTGCAATATTTGTTACATGTATGCAAACTGTGTGTGTATGTGTGTGTGTGTGCGTGTTGAAAAGGGCCCTGCTTGCTTTGGGCTATCACACAGGCTGCGTGCCCCTGGTCTGTCAACCCAGCAAGATCAGAGGACTGCAGCACCCATCACACACTGCGCTGTAATGGATTTAATGAGGGGATGAGCAGTGGATGTCACACACACACACACACACACACATACACACACACACACACACACACACACACATACAAAAACACGCAGTTGTGCATCAACACACAGCACAGTCTCTTGCTAGCTGCTGTGTGGTGATTGAGGTTAGCTGACAGACACCGCTGCTTTCTTGAAAGATGGAAGACCCTGTGATGTTGCTTCTTTGGGAGATGGAGGCACACAGGTTAATGAAAGTGAATGCTGCACTGTCACACGGGGAGACTGACTCCCTCGCTTTCTCTCTTTTCTGTTTTTTTTATTATTTTTCTTTTATTTCAATCCTTATCTCCCAGGATGGATGACCCATTCTGCCTCTCTGCTTTGAGGTCACCTTTCTATTCGCTGCCAACAGGGGGAGCTTTACCCCCCATCCATCCCTCTGCTGTTCACATGCACCTACCAGGGGTCCGCTACCCTGGAGATTTCACACACCCTTCACTGTCAGCACTGCAGTCTGAGAGGTAAAGACCCCTTAACTCATACATATATAGACCATGTATAGATATCAGCCGTGGTTATGAATTTTCATTTCTGATTTAACATCCATCTTCTTTCTGCTTCCGTTTCCCTGTCCACTGCACTTTTTTAGGCTTCAGCTGGAGGATGAGCTGCGGCAGAGAGAGAGGGAGCGCGAACGAGAACGTGAGCGCGAAAAGGAGAGGGAGCGCGAGGCGGAGAGAGAGAAAGAGCGGGAGAGAGAACGGGAGAGGGAGAGAGAACGTGAGAAGGAGCTGGAGAGGGAGAGGGAGCGTGAGCGAGAAAGGGAGCGCGAGAGGGAACGGGAGAAGGAGAGAGAAAGAGAGAAGGAGCTGGAGAGGCAGAAGGAGAGAGCGCTGAGGGAGAAGGAGCTGCAGGCATCCAAGGCCATGGAGAGCCACTATCTGGCTGAGCTCCATGCCATAAGGGGGCAGGAGGACCGAACCAAGCCTGAGAGACTCACCCCTAATCGGGCTGGTATGTGTCTGTGCTTCCCTTGTAGCCTCTATAAGCTACAGTTATAATGTTTTTAAAGCAACATTGGCCACACAGTTTTCACAGTTTTCTTTTTATACATTTTATATACTGATTAACTGGTGAATTGAGAAAATAATTGTCAAATGAATATAATCATTAGTTGCATCCCTAATACCAAAATTCTTTGCACTGACCTCTCCGTCTCTGCAGATAAAACCAAAGAGCCCGCCCTTCCAGCTCCCAAACCCGTACCGCCAGGACTACACTCTTCAATGGTTCAATCCCATCATCCCGTCCCTGGGTTGATCTCAGGCCACGGTCTCTACATGGGCCCCAGCGCTGTGGGGACTGGGCTCCCGGCCTCAATGATTGCTCAGAGGAACAATGAGGAGGAGAGGTGGTTGGCACGGCAACGCAAGCTGCGGCAGGAGAAAGAGGATCGTCAGTACCAGGTGTCTGAATTCCGTCAGCAGGTTCTGGAGCAGCACTTGGACTTGGGCCGGCCAGCTGACGCACCAGATCACAGGACAGACTCGCACAGGTGAAACAACACGTACAAGGCTCTGCTTGTTGTAGTCCAGCCAGACGGAGAGACAGACAGAAATGTACTCATTTTCAAACCTGCTTAAAATTTTTAACCACGTGCCAAGTATTTATTGCCACATAACTCTCTGACACCAAAATGCATGCATGATTTCAGTGCACACATTATTTTTGGGGGTGCTCTCTCTGCTAGCCTGATAGGGACAGTTGTGCCTGTATTTTGAAGCCTCAGATGCTGGCAGGCCTTAGAAGTTTGTTTTCAGGCAGGGCTGGGAAAAAAAAAGATAAACCCTGTCAGAAGCATCACATCTACTCTATTTCTGTCCATGCTACCTTCTAGGCCTGACATGTAGCAAAACATGCAGCTATGTTTAGGTGTTGATGTAGGGTCCTGATGACTGCTATTCCATGAGAAGTGGGTAGGGGTTTCAAACAGGCAGCGAGTGGGATGGCTAAGATACACAAAGGCTAATTCTCAGCTAATCCTCTCAACCTTGCACAGCGTAAGCCCCCTACTTACCCTCCTTTGTTACTGTGCCTGTGTTTGTGTTGTTGTGTGGGATTCAGAAGTGAGGTTGGGGTTAATGCTGAACTGGGAGGACAGGAGAGACACACGCACACGTCTGATATCAGTAACCCTACGGTATAATCGCAGAATCGCAGAATCACAGCTCACAGGCTGCAGATTGCGGATAACACACACATTTGCTCACTCACTCACTCACTCACACACAGAAATGCAAACACAAACAGGAGGCATAGATAATTTGACTGGTCATGCAGCGTGCACTACTGCCAGGTTTTATCTGGAAAGACGCTCCAGACAGTATCCATCCACCATCTGCCTTTCTTTCCTCCTCACTTTTGCTGTGCTTTTTCCACTACCATACCCTTTCTCCTTTTCAAGTTTTCCTTTTCATCCTTGTCCTCACTTTATATATATATTTATATATATATTCCTCTTCTCTGTCTTATATCATTAAGTGTTCCCTTTCAAACAGTCTATCGTTCTTCTTCCCCTTCCTGTGTTAGTCCTTTTCTTCTCTGCCTGCCTGTCAGGAAAACATTTCTCCTGGCCTCTTCCCTCGTAGACTGCTCTCTGAACTTGGTCTCTCCCTTCGTGTGTGTGTGTGTGTGTGTGTGTGTGTGTGTGTGTGTGTGTGTGTGCGCGCGCGCGCGTGTGCGTGCCACACTTCAAGGGCCTAACAGATCAAAAACAGGCGGGTATATCTGGAGGACAGTGTGTGCCTTGGCCACATCCTCACTCTGCTCTGGGCTACTCTGTCTGGGCTTGATAACACTGCTTTGCACAGACACACAAACCCACAGACATACTGACAGGGATGACAGGAAATAGACAAGGCATACGAGCCCTTTTGTGTGTCTCTGCATAACATGTGTGACTGGGAAACACTATTTCTCAATTTTAGAAGAGATATGAGAGTCGGACTGTATTTCTAACAGATATGCACAATCCCTGTTCCATTGTATCTCTACAGACCCATAACAAATCACCATGAACCAGGAAGCCGGGATCTCCACCCTCACTTAGGCGCCCCTCCACCCCTCATCTCCCCCAAACCTCCACAGCCACCACGTGAACACCACCCTCCGCCACCCACCACCCTGTGGAACCCTGCATCTCTTATAGAAACAGCCTCAGAGTCCAGACGTAACCACGAGCCCTCAGGGATGGGACACTATGAGCTCAGTCGGCTGCCCCCAGGGCCCTCCAAATATGAGGATGGAGCCCGAAGGAGAGATGGGGGAGCAATGGAAAAGTATCCCTCACTGAGAGGTCCTCCGGGCCTGACAGAGCCCAGCACATTCCTAGCTGATCTGGAGAAATCCACCCAGTCCTTCTTCAGCCAGCAGAGGTCATCGCTGTCCCTGTCTAGCCAGTATGAACTGGAGGGAGCTGTGAAAAGCAATGCTGGAATAAAGAGCCTCCAGGGACACCCGGGGCACAGTAGGCATGGACAGGGGCTAGGAATAATTGCCGGGCCAGGGATGGGACAGGTAGCTACACTGGGGATGGGCCCGGAGACGATGCTGATCTATGATGAGTACCTACAACAGCACCGAAGGCCTGTCAGCAAGCTGGACCTGGAGGAGAAGAGGAGAAGGGAGGCCAGGGAGAAAGGTACTCACCACAGGCATACTGTTACACCTGATGAACTGCATTCTCATGTGCTTGGAAAACCATAGACCATATCTTGTTTTATGTAACAAGTCAACTTTTCTTTTTTATTTTTAAGAGAATTTAAAAGTGGGGCATCAGTAGTGACCTCTGTGTTTTCTGCAGGTTACTACTATGAGCTGGATGACTCATATGATGAGAGTGATGAGGAGGAGGTGAGAGCTCATCTCAGGAGAGTATCAGAGCAGCCCCCACTCAAACTAGAAGACTCCACAGAGGTAAAACACCTGCCAACACATCTATGTTTTCTGTGCTTTCCATGATGGAAGCACACACAGGCACAAAACATTGCAGTAAGGTGATTTAAAAGAAATAAATAAATAAAATTTCTTTGCCTCTCTTTGCCTCTCACAGAAATTGGAATTTCTGGGAGTGTTTGGCCTGACCACAGTGGGCCGGCGGGATGAGCTGGTGCAGCAGAAGAGAAGGAAGAGGAGGAGGATGCTCAGGGAGCGCAGCCCCTCACCACCTGCCTTGCAATCAAAACGCACTCCTCCTCCGCCTCCTCCTCCTCCACAACTCAGCACGCGCTTCACCCCTGAGGAGATGGACCGAGCGCCAGAGCTGGAGGATAAGAAGCGGTTCCTCACCATGTTCAGACTGTCCCATGTCACTTTGCAGCAGAGAAGAGGTAAGGGAATTTAGAGTAGTGCGCAGATATTAGGCAGATAGTCCATCCCACATTCTTAATTTACTCACTCATCTTTGAAGCTGCTCTAAAATAACCCAGGTAAATATATATGGGTGATTCAGTTACTCTAAATATGGGTCCTTTAGTGTTGCTTACCAACCGTTTTTGTTTAATTATGTTTCAAGAACAACATTAATTAGTGTAAGAATTAACTGAGCGTAACCATGCCTCTTAGCTGTTCTTAATTAAATAAACCACGTCTTCCTTATTGTTTAAGTAAAGAGTTGATGTGCTCGGGAAGCTAACTCCTTTGACTTCAACGGCAAAATCTAATTAAGTGGAGGAAATAGTTTTGATATTGATAATTAATTGAAAAGCTAAAATTTATATTAACTCAGTACTTCAACAAGGTCATTAGAAACCACTACATCTTAGAAATGACCTAGTGCCCTTTACATGCCATACAAACATGGCCATCCATAACTTATAATATGCCTCTTCTTTTTGACATTTCATTGAGTGATTGCAGTGTTCATTTAGCTTTTAGTAGGCAGTAGTCATCCTCTGTCGGCTCAACAGCTTGCTGATGCTTTACTTCAGCTGAGCTCTGCCTGCATTGCATGCACTGCATTGTCATTAACATGTTGACTCAAGCCTTGAAAGAAACCACAAAGGGGTCACACAATGCAGCATATAATTAACAATGTATGCATAATGTAATGCCTTATATTGCCTTAGTTGGAAAGGTGGACTCGTGTCAAGGTTCTGTTTGTAGACACTTGCAATTACACACACACACAAACACACACACACACACAGACACACACACACACATACTGTATACTGATGAGGAATTGGGAGTGGCAGCAGTGGGCTTACAGTTATCCCAGTCTAATCCTCTTGATTTACTGTTTGCTGCCTACAGATGGCAGCGCACAGCCTCCCACACTATCAGGCTACACTCAACCTTACACACACACACATATTCAACCTTACACTTACACACACACACACACACACACATACACACACACACACACACATACACACACACACACACACACAGACACACACATACACACAAACACAACTAAGAAAAACAGGTGCTTATGAAATTGTGAATAAGACAGAATTGACAGGACTAATGCTACAAAGGTTTACATGATGTATTACTTCCTCTGTCTCTTAGATAATGAAAGAGTGGTGGAGTTGCTTCAGGCCATTAAAGAAAAGAGCGTAACCTTGGACACCATCAGACATGCCCCTCATCCGCTGTGTAAGAGCCCTTCAGCACAGAGCTCTGGTGAGGCACATACTAATAAGCATAAGCATACACAATTTCACATCCCTGAAGTGTTGGGTTAGAGTGGTGTTTATTCATTTGTATAATGTATTTGGATGGGTGATTCATCTTTAAGAAATTACAATTTATAACTGCAATGTTCCATTTGTAATAATGTGGATCTTGACCTCATCATTACTAACACATGTTGAAATGATTACAGATTCTGCATTTGCCCAGCCTCCCTCTGAATCAGAGGACCACCACAATGTCAGACCACATAGCCCCTCCTCACATTGCCCAGCGTCCCCCAATGGCCATCCAAAACCCCTTGGGGACACATTAAGACCAAAGGAACCCCCTTCTCCAGCTGTCTATCCAGACAAGGCCCGGGGGCCCAGTGAAGGACCGATATCTAAGAGGAGCTCCAGTCTGCTGAACAGCTTGCGGCCCCCACTCCCCCTTCAGGCTAAAGAGAGCCTTCACAGCGTCAATGGACGCACCAAACCTTGGGACAGCTTCACCCCGGAGGAATTTGCCCAGCAGTTCCACGAATCTGTGCTTCAGTCCACTCAGAAAGCTCTTCAGAAACACAAAGGTAAGCCGCACAAGCCGCAGTCGCAGAAATATCTTTGCAAAGTTGACTGATGGGCACCATGATAAATAACTTGAATAATGAATATATTGTTATTTATTTAAAATTTTTGTCTATTTTGTCGTCTCTTGATTTAATAGTTCAATAGTCTTCAGTATTAGATTAATAAAAATGGATGAAATCTGACAATCCTTTCTTCTCTCCTTTAGGTGGAGCCACTGGGATGTCGGAGTCATCCCACCTCCAGGAGTCCTCTGTTCACTACAACATTCCGGAGCTTCAGAGCACCCCTGGGCGACCACCGCAGCCACATTCACAGTCTCACTCGAATGCACATTCATTTCCCCATCCGCTCTCACACTCTCATCCTCAGTCCAACGGGCAGCACTTCTCAGTACCGCTACACCGGGAGGCCTCAGGGACGAGAGAGGACCTGTCTGGGCCAGAGGACTCTGAGGAAGAAGAGGATGAGGAGGAAGAGGAGGGTCCTTCTTCCAAGTGGCAGGGGATTGAATCTATATTTGAAGCTTATCAGGAATATGTTGAAGGTAAGTGGTCACACTTAAAGTTTCATGCCCTTTACCTCCATAAAAGTTGGATCACATCTCATTGTATAGTTTCATAAATCAGCGTTGCTCTTTATTCTGTGAATTCCTTTATTCCTTCCATCTCTGATGTATTAATTTTGAAGGTCTACAGTCACTAATATTTTTTCGTGGTTCGAGTAATCAGTTGAAGTTCGATGTATAGCACCTTTCATACCTTTCATATAAACAGTAAAAATAACTGAGGACTAAAAACAGAATGGAATGAATACATAAGAAAATTTATTAGACAGATGAAATACAATTAGAAAAAGATATTCCAAAGAGGGCTGGAACTTGTGAAGTTGTAGTAGCATTATCTTGTCACTAGAGGGTGCCATTTATCCTTCCTAAACACAAATCAGCTATATGCAGATAAATGTGTATCAGGGTTTCAACCAGAAATTCAGTTAAAATAACATCCAGCCACCCCCACCTCATTACACCATGTCACTTGTGCAATTTAAGAGCTCCAAACATGAAGATGCTTTTCTATATTTGCTTGATGTAGATTAGCCTTGTAGCTTCTGCTGTTTCAATAGTACATGGTCTGTTGCTTAGAGGTCAGTGTTCACTTCTCTAATCCCAACCATGTTGTTTCCTATTTCCTTTTCCCTGTATTCTGTGATTTGGTGGTGTCCTCTAGAGCAAAGTTTAGAGCGACAAGTGTTGCAGAGCCAGTGTCGAAGACTAGAAGCTCAGAACTACAACCTCAGTCTGACTGCTGAGCAGCTGTCGCATAGCATGGGGGTAAGACACACACACACACACACACACTACACTTCTTTTACTGTCCTTCATAATAATACACTAAGTGCAGAGGCAGAACAAAACATCTTAAAAACTATGCTAGTACTGACGGAAGTAACTAGATCACAGGCCTGTGATAGACTTGCAAGATGAGGAAACTAGCTCAGATCAAAGATGCTGAATTTTCACTGCATGAATTGCAAGGTTGCTGGTTGAAAAATGCAAAAGAGAGCACATAGGCCTATACAGCTGTAACCAAAAATAACTTGAAAATGGTTGTCAGGGCTCTGCATGTTTGTATAAAAGCCAGAAAATATAGCACAGGGCTTCATACAGGAGCAAGTGAACCCTGACATCTAAAACCTTTCCTTGGGATATTTTCATAATCCAGGATGATAATGTTCCCAAACTGCTAATAAACCGCTAAATTATTTCAATAATGGTTTATTGAAATAAGGATAAAGTTCTGGGACAAAATGTTATCGTTAGCCTCCAAAGTCACCACATATAAACATTACTGCATTTTAACTGGAGGAGCTGATGTGTGAACTAATGTGAAATCATTGCCACCTGTATAATCCCAGAACTGGAGGGTTTGCCTCTTGAAAAATGATAAGATATCTGATACAGTTCAGGACAAGACTGACAGGAATATAAAGAGTCGTGCTATATAATGCTAATTCTCACATTGTGGTTACTCCTTTATTTTTCGCCCTCCATTGTATCAGTATAACTGAAATCACATCATCATTGTGATATGTTTTCTGTGGTAATCTTATATTATTATTCTCTTTGCTCTATGGCTGTGTAGGAGTTGATGTCCCAGAGACAGAAGCTGGCAGTAGAAAGGGAGAAGTTACAAGCAGAGCTGGAGCACTTCAGGAAGTGTTTGACGCTGCCACAGACACACTGGCCGAGAGGCAGCCATTACAAGGGCTACCCACCCAGGTGACCCCAACACGCAGACCTGATGGCCCCCAGGCCACCTCCCTTTTCAGACTGACACCCAGAGTTTATTTTTCATGGCCTGTTCCACATGGCTCCACAGAGGAGAATATGGCGGGCCAGATAAGATGAATGAATGAATGATTGATTGAATTGAGTGAATGGAAAGACGAATGCACGGGAGACAGGACCATTCAGTGAAGGACAGGCAGTCTTTGGATTGTGGCCAGCCAGGGACTGCGCCACAAGCCACTAACGTGTGCCAATGTAGCCAACCCCGAGATCAGCGCGAGTATAGGGCAGGAGTACCTGAAGATCAACACAAACACACACATGCACCTGCTTTTCACATACTCTTCAGTCCCTGCTGCTCTATTGTTCAGTCCCTGCATCCCTCACCGCCACATCTACACAGACAATCCTGCCAATGAGGGAGCAGCCGCCCCAGGAGGGGTGCCGTCAAGAGACTTGAAAGCTCCAAATCTCCAAACGAAGGCTTCTGGCCAGTTGGGACTGATTTTATCACAGTGGCCACATGAGCTTTTGAACTGGAAATGCACTTAAGAATAAAAGCTGAAGAACTACCTGGTGGTACTGTGTTACAACAAAGAACTGTTCAAATTAGGGAAGAACTTAGAAAATGCACATTTTTTGGAAAGAATTAAGGAAATGTTTTATTTCGAAATAGAAAATTTGAGAATAAGAATTTTAAAAGGTGCTTCGGCCTTGTATTGTATATAAAATGAAGACTTAAAAGAATTTTGTATGTTTTTATTACTTTAATCATTGTTCTTTTAAAAGAAAAAGCCTGCCATTTTTATATGTTTATGCTTTTTGGGTTGGAAAAGAAAGCCTTGCTTTTAGTGTTTGTACTGCTGCTGGCCAGAACAGCTCATTTTGAGACATTTAACAGAGTGAGAGAAAACAGGATGCACTCCTCCTCCTCTTACTCTCTCCTGGCACTGCGCAGCTGAGACCCAGCCACAGCCATCTCATCTGGCCTCTGAGCTCAGCAAAGCTTACTCAGAGGTCATGAGACATGGCTCCTGCCCTCTCATCCCCCTTACTTCACAGCAACATTTGTCTGTCTGTTTTGATGCCCATTTCAACAACTCCTCCAGTCAGCTTCACTGCTGCTGGCATGACTAGTTAGCTTGTGATATTCTCATACCAACTGGTTTCTCATACAGAAACCAGTTGAAATCCAGCGTCAAAATTAGGATTTTTTTGTTTGTTGTTTTCTTTTCTTTTCTTTTTTTTTTACTTGGGTCACTTGACTTACTTGATTACTTTGTAAAGACATGAAGAGTCTCTTAAGCAGCCAGCTGATGAAACTGGTTCTTGATGCTTTATCCTACCATTGGACCTTCACCTCACTTTGTATGACATTATATAGCATTGGACTCAAACAATATGACGTTTTGAATAATGTTACGCCTTACAAGATCAAGCCCTTAACAGCAGTCATGAGAGGACACAGTGCCAAACTGAAAAACAAACAGTAGCATCTTGGATTCTTAATTTTAATTTGAGTTGCAATTAGGTAGCCAAACATTCAAACCAGAATGGCCATCTTCCACTGCTGAAAACCTTTGACCCCACTCATCTCCTTCCTGCATTTCCCCATTGTTTAGGACCCTTGCTATCCAAAGTTGCCAATGTTATAAATAGACTGGAAATCACACAAAAGTTTGATTCAAACAGGGCATTTCCTAGTACATATAAAATCAGAGAGGTTTGATCTACCTGGCCTCATACCTGTTTACAGCCTGTCTGCCCTCATCCTCCTTGTCAGCTCTGCCCTGAGATTCTGCCAGTTTTACACTGACTTTCTATCCTGTAACTCATGTTGCCTCAGCCTTGTGGTTGTATGTGCGACTAGAGACCCCAAAAGCCGTCTACGAGGCATAGAGATCGTTGTAATGAATTTAAATGTTAAGTTATGGTGGTGGGATAAGCACGATTTCAGTATTTCAAAGTAAAATGTGCAGAAAGCTAATTTATTAAAAAAAAAGACTAAAGCACAACTACCCCAAACATACAGTATATGATTTACAAGTGCCTCAAAAAATTTGGGAGCATGTGAATGAGTTGGGAGTCCACATGATGGACACATCATCAATCAGTGATAAGGCACTTAACATTTTACATTGAAGTGTCTACTGTATGTCTCACTCCTTTCAAATATGTGCAAGTTGAGAACGGGCACAGAATTCCTTTCATCTAAAAGCATCGTCAAGAAACAATTAAATCATAAGATCTTTTTCATATATGAGGCCTGAGTCAGTTCAGAGGGATACAGTGTAGTCTGTCATTTTTACAGAGCAGAAAAGAGCCAAGAGCGCAGCTTATCAGTTAATGAGGGAGCACCTATGCTGAGGGAAGCTGCCAATGAGCTGGGGATGAAGGTGTAGTGCAGTAAGCCCCATTTACCCAGCATCCCTGTGTCTCCAACCCACGCACGCCCATGCAATAGCCCCATTACTCAGTGGAGGATGTCTAGATGCTGTGAAATCCTGTTTTTAAAATGTACTTGTTTGAATTCATTGTAATGTAATATATTCTTTGTTGAATGTAGTAATTAGGTATTTATGAATATATGGCTGTGATTTCAGACAAAAAAGAAAATAAAATATTTCAAAAATGTTAAATACCAACCTTCGTCTGTTTGTGGGTGCTGGTGCAGTAGGTGGACGATTTCACGTGATTTTAAAAAAAAAAAAAAAAAAATGAAACGATTCCTAGACCTTTCCTGACAAAGACCTTTATAAACCTGGTGAATTAGAACTCAAACATCATAACCCCGTCCAATAATATCTTGCCACTGGTTTTGGATTAAAACGCAGCGAGCGTTGTTTAGAGCTGTATTTATGTGGCTTTCTGTCCACCTCAAAAGACATGCATTTTACACTACGACTGCTTACTGCTGCTTAATATTTAGGACGGATCAAATACAGAGCTAATTTCCCCACAAGGACTTAAAAATAAACTAAAAAATAGACGAATTGTTTTGATTATTGCTAACACTAACACTTTTACCATTAGCATGTCACTGTGAGTTTAAATGGCCCTGTATACAAAACTCCATTCCTCTAGCACATTTTGAAAAATATTACACAAACATAATGATGACAAATAGACACAATGATTAAAAATATAAAATTGTAGGGAAATCTTTTTTTAACGTATATACTTATATACTAGGGACATACACACTAATACATTTATTTTGTCACATACTGGTACATACAAAAGCATGGTGGCTGTTTTAAACTACTATGAGCATCCTAAATGAAATGAAATGAAGTATGCACATATTGCAAACAGCATATGCATATAATGATTATGTTTGTAAATATGTATGGAACATATGTCTCCCTCGAGAGAAGTATAATCCCTTAAAAAGGCTGAGTACAACTCTTGAGCTTTCTTCAGATTCAGAGAAAACTGTCTTTTCAGTAATGAAGAGCTTGCTCAGTAAGTACACACTTCCATCCAAGCCGTCCCAAATTCTTGGGACAAAATCCAAACGTGTTCAGCAGGCTTTGATCTAGTGGGTCAATAGTCCGTGAATTGTCCTTTACTGGAACCAGGCTGCAGATTGGAACGTAGTTTGTACATGCAGTTGAGCGAGTCAAGAAGAAACGCTCGAATGGTGTTGATCTCCATCAGAGTTAGGTTGTCCAGCTATAGAGAGAATGAAGCAGAGTTAGGCAGGAGACGATGTAAGCATTCAACAAGCAACAATTCAATATGACAGTCATTCTCTAATGTCTGTGGTGCATGCTGGCGCTCATATCTACTGGATCTTAATATTAGAGTGAAACAGGAAGCTGTAGAGCCACAAAATGAGAGGATAAAACCATAATGCCAAACATTTTGCAAGACACCGGGACCATGGCTGTTAAACAATCAAGGCGCTCCAAAGTTCGTCTGAACCTGATGAATGTTCAGAATTTTTCCAAGGTGCTAACGTTTTTCTTGAACTTCTATGTAGCTATGTTACCAATAATTCAAGCAACATTTTTTTGTTATCATTGATTAATTATTTAGGTGATTAATCCATTAATTAAGTCTATAACATGTCTAAAAATAATGACAAATGCCAGTTTCCAGAGCCCAAGGTAACATCTTTATATTGTTTGTTTTATTGGACCAACAGTCCAAAACCAAAATATATTCCGTTTAATACCACAGTAAGAAAACCAGCAAATATCCACATTTGAGAAGCTAGAACTACTGAACTGATACTGGTTGCTAAATAATTTTCTGTTGATCAAGTAATATATTACAATATCCTATGAACTAATAATGTCAATATTGTAGTGAAAGGTACAGTGTATGATCCTGTGTGATCAGTTTTACCTTGGCATGCGCCTCCTGCTGACTGATGAAGCTGTCGGCGGACAGACGGAGTTTGGCAATACGTGTGTCCCAAATGTCTTTGACCAGTGTGCGGATCTCATCTGCTTTAGGAATATTGTCTGATGCGCTAGGGAAACACACAAACCATCATGTAAGGTAGAATGCCACATACAGAGATGATAAGGGAGCATTTTCACAAATCGTTTAATTACTTTGAACACCGTGAGCACAATACGAAGGTAGGACCTATCTCTGCGTGGGGATAACTTAAATTTATAAGACTCACTGATTAAGTAGCAGCTTGGTCAGCTCCATGTAGTAAGGGCTGGGAACGGGTGTAAAGGTATCCTCCTTCCTCTCAAGCTCTCGCATGTCCTCCAGTTTCTCTGCACATTGGAGCACAGCATCAACAGCAGAAAGGGGACAAAAAAGATCAAGTTGGAAATATTCTATATTTTTGTTACTGCCAACAAGTTTAATAAAATAATCAAAATCACTAACCTATCCTACTAACAAGTATTTCCTGTGCAGCTAAAACCCGATGTAACTTATTCCTCAGTGCTATAGAGTTCTATTATTTTACAAAAACTATTTAAAACCAACAACTAGACTAATTGCTGGTTGGTATTTGTCTTTAAGCAATTTATTTACACTAAGAAATACATAGAATAATACCAGCCCTATCCTTAAAGTTTGTAAAGCTACCAGCTCCACATGAGTGGTGGTGGTGGTGGTGAGCAGTAAATTGTTTTAGTGAAGCAATAACAATATAGATATTATGACTGATATGTCTATTGACTAGAGGAACTACAGGAAAATAATCTTATTGAATTGCCTACATCTGATTCTGAATGACTGTAGTCATCTCTAGTCCAACTTTTACCACAAATCATCATTTGTATAATGCACGGAAAAATAGTGCCGATTGATACCATTTTTTTTTAAAAATTAATTTAGGGACAGCTCATTTTGTTTATGCATTTAAAAATTTGGAGAGGCACGGTAAGAGTTACCCTCTCAAATCTCTGCCAGAACCACAACTGATGTTTAAACCCATGTTGTAAGGTAAAGAATAAATCAAACAAACACTGTCACAAGCTGATACACAACATATGTACATGATCCTGTCCTGTTGATCCTGGAACCTTAAAGATATTCATCTCTGTGAGCCATTTGAAAACATGTCAAACACCTGGATGGAGTTTTTGACTCTTACCAACATCCATCCACTCAGGAGGAACAATTCTACATTTCTGTCTCTGTTTCAAGTTGAGAGCCAGCCACACAGGGACATCCACTGGCAGTCCAGGGTTGAAGGGACCCAGGTCGCCCTGAAGACAGAGGGACACAGATTGTATTCCATCTCCATCTTCGTTAGCATATAACTTCAAACACTGTTGTTACGTGTAAATGGCATGTGGCCATATAGTTTAATGTGGTAACTTTACATTTAAAGTAGAAGTAACGTGGATGTGACAACCTGAATTCCCACTTTACGGCAATCCATCGGCAGACGGTTTAGTGCTATCGTCTATCGGCAACAGTGTAAAATAACGTCTTGACAAATACAAGTGATTGACTTACCCCGATCAAATAGATCTTGTCTAGACTGAAATTTGGAATTATCTTCACCGTTTCTTTCTCCGCGAGGAACTCGACTTCCGAAGGATCCATTTGTTTATTTTGTTTGCCCCAACTTTACCCTCACATTCACTCTACAAAATGTTCCCGCGCTGCAAGCTACACGAACCTTCAAGGAAAACGAGGTAGGGACCGCGGCGTCATCAACAGGAAGTTTGGTTTCGTAAGTAAGCACCGCGTGCCGTTTTGTGCAACTTTACAATTTATTTCAGTGTGTCGGTGTATGTAATCCCATCACGTGCACCCGGATGGGATCTAGATCGATAGACAAATTGTAGTTTGGAGGCTGTTTACAGGCGCGTTAGGGGCCGGGTGCCCATGACGATACTGACTACTCCTGAAATCTTTGCTCTGTCTGGCCCGGAGAGTAGAAGTGGGTCATGTGACTGTGACAACAGTTGCAGGTAAGCGCCACTAGGTGGTAATATTCACCAATTGATGAAGAGGAGGGCGCTTCTTTGTGAGGGAGCTCTGAAGAGATAGTTTGTGATGTTTTATATCTGCAGCTTGATCAGTAATGGAAACCATGATTTGTTAGAGCCTTGATTAGATAGAAAAAACTGTCACTCTTATGAAACCTATTTCATAATTATATTGCTGTATGTGGCTGGTAGCAGTGAGTCTAAGTAGTGGCTGAAAAATGAGCAGATCGTTCTGGGCCAGTTCAGTGGTCATGAGTGGATGATAGAACAACTTACTATAGGGGCCAAAAAAGTCTGTTGTCAGGATATACAGAAAGTCTACTGCATGATAATAATCATCATAGCTGTTCAGGACTTTCACCTGAAAATTAAAAAATAGTACAGCAGGTAAGATAGAAGCCTGTGAAACTTTTCAGTGCAAAGTCTGATAGGTTAGAGGGGGTGTTGTGATAAATTGATGACACACAAATACATTTCTAGAAGGCCAGCTAAGAGAAAACTTTGTGTAACGGAAGAAAGCTCAGGATGTTTCGTGGTATTTCAACATGGATTGTGAATCATAATTCCCAGGGGCTAGGGAGGTTTAGGAAGGGTCCAAATCTGACTCGTTAGTAGACTTGTTTATTTGGAGGAGATAAAGTCTAAGGTGTGTGCATTTAATGGGACTTGGTTGCAGTAACGAAACAGTTTCCCTCTGGGATTAATAAAATGCCCTCATAGTTATTTTTCTGTATTTCTACTCACCATGTTAGTGACATTTTTTTATTATAAATTATGTCATGCACATTGACATATGAAATTATCTTTCACGTTATTCTACCTGTTAAGAGCATATAACAGTACCATAAGTCCCTGATACATGTGTTACTCATACAGCTGCAAAGCCATTAATAAAACCCTTGTTAGGCAATTTGTACACCATACAAAACTACACCACAAAGCTGCAGCCTTCAAGCTGGTAAGTGATTGTTTTCAAACTTTTATCAACATTACTGTCAAGGCAGTGGTATAAGACATTGAGCAAAATGATTTTCTAAATTACATAAAATGAGTCTGACAAAGACCATTTCAAAAATTGGTTTCATTGTACATTCAGTTCATAAAGTTTCTGTAAAAAATGTGCTGTCCACAACTATTTAAGTAATTAGCTCTTATTGATGAATTCTAATCTCAAATACAAAGGCAGTTCTGTATCCTCTCAATATGCATTTCACTTGTTTAA